TTCTTCCAATAAAGTTTAAAAATTGATTTGATTTCAAATTTCAATGTACGAGTCCTCAAAACACGCATTGGGATTTCCCAATAACCCCAATGAGTATTATTCTGGAATTTTGAGACTTTTTAGTCATACCAACCAGACTAGAATTCGTTATCATGGAAAACAACGATCAATACTTCGAACTTCAACACCCTGTATCTAGAAAACGAAACATTTCAGGTCCTATGTTGATATGAATTTTTCGTAGAATCAACCAAATAATCTTTCTATGAAGTTTGGCCACATACTTAAATAACACCCTGTATATCAGTTTTCGCTGCTACTACTACTACGAGTTCTACTCTCATCAAATGAAACCATGTGTCTATTGGAAGGCCAAATTAGTGTAAAGTGAAAAAATGTTTTTTTCATTCGAAACATCTCCATCTCTTTTTCTCTTCTTTCATAAATGTTAAAAGTTTCGAGAAGAGATATAGCAACTACAACTGATACAGTATATTTTTCTCTGATGCACAAATTGGGTTAGTTTGTAACTACGAAGCGTATTGTAGAGAAAAATCTCTGGAAAAAGTTCAGGACCTGAACAGATACGTCATAATCGTCTTCATCAAACCCCAAGCCATCAATTTCACTTTCGACGTGTGTCAAGGGTGGTGTTCCTCAAGTCGCTAATTAGGGGTAATTATCCCTCTCAACCGAATTCCCAACATTATTCCAGGCTCACTTAACGATGATCTATCACGTCTCTTTATGAATGAAAATATTTGAAAGAGTGAGCGAAAGGGTAGATTTCGAAAAACTACAAACAAGTTTTCGCAATTATTCCGTCTCCTTTGCTAGGTCCATGCATTATTTTTCATTCTATGATATAAAGAATGTGATCCTCTTTCAAAATTGAAAAAAAAACGCTCTTTTATAGAAATAGTAAAAAAAAATGAGTGCTAAAAGTGACATTTTATTTTGTGAGAAGGGAAGTTTGGGACACGACGCCGAAGGCGGAGTGTTCCATCGCTTCGAACAAAAGAAAAAACACTTTTAGCACATATATCATACACTATTTTTTCTACAAACACCATTAAGAGTCCAAATACATTACTTATTAATTGATCATCAGTTTTGAATCCAATTCAATCTAATCTATTCATGAAACAAGTTACCAAGGTAAACAAAAATTGAATTTGTTGATTTATCTTTCTTGACAACTAACGTCAATGAATCACGAATCATTCTTTCTCGTTTCTTCGTTCCTCGATGGAAAGTGCCCAAGAAAATGAATTTCTTCCGCCGCAAATTGAAAAAGCTGCCAATAAAGCTGTTTTTGAATTATTGCCAAGTAAGTCAAAGCGACAGTACGAGTTTTCATACGAACGTTTCTTGGAATGGTGTGATCAGAAAAATGTCAGTGGAAAGGAGGCCAGTGAAAAAGTGCTTCTTGCATACTTTGAAGAAAAGTCCAAAATATGGAAATCGTCAACGCTTTGGTCGAATTACTCTATGTTTAAGTCGATGATGAACATAAATGATCATGACATAAGCAGATATCACAAGCTTGTGGTATTTTTGAAGCGAAAGGGTGAAGAATATCGACCGAAAAAGTCAAAAGTATTGACAAGAGAACAAATCGACAAATTTCTCGCAGAAGCCCCAGATGGAATATATCTAATGCAGAAAGTTGCTGCAATTTTTGGTATTTTTGGAGCGTGTCGTCGATAAGAACTATGCGATTTGACAATAAATAATATCGAGGATTCCGGAACTTCACTAGTTGTGCATATACCAGACACAAAAACTAATGTGCAACGCACCTTTGTTGTAAGTGGTACATTGTATATGAACTACTACAAAGAGTACATAGCCCTTCGTCCAGTGGATATTGATCATTCTAGAGTTTTCATAAAATGCTTCTAAAATAAATGTGCCAGGACTCCAGTTGGAATCAACACATTTGGTAAGATGCCTGCCAAAATTGCCGAATTTCTTAATTTGCATGATTCCCATCTATATACTCGACATTGTTTCCGACGTTCCTCAGCTAGTTTGTTGGCGGACTCTGGTGCTAGTCTAACTACAATTGAAAGACATGGTGGATGGAGGTCCAGTACAGTAGCAGAGGGTTATATAGAAGACTCGTTACAAAGGAAACAGAACATTGCAGATCAAATTTTGTCGAGAACTTCGGCAGATAATATTGCTCTCTACCCTGGTACAAGCTTCACGAAAATAAATTCTGTCACATTTACCAATGAGACTGGACATGGAGTTTCGTATTATAATTGTAGTTTCGCTAATTGTACTTTTAATTGAATGAACACTTCATTTTGAATTATGTTTACATATTGTCTCAAAGTAGATCACTTTCAGTACTAGTGCTAAAAGTGATTTATTTTTAACACCAGTGTCATAAACTGACATCTTAGACATTGACAGCCTGCGTCAAAAATTATACTTTCACTGACGTTTGTAGAAAAAATAATAAAAGTGTGTTGATAAATACACAACATAGAAATAGTTACTCGTATTTACCTCGTTATTTACCTAACAAGAAATCTTGGTATTGACAAAAATTGTCTTGTCTTGTCTTGTCTTGAAATCTAAAATTACTTCTTGTCTTGAGATCAGGACAAGATCAAGACAAGATCTTGAAATTTTCATGAAGTTCCATTATCAATCATCATGGAAGTTAGCTGAAGAACCAATATTTATGTTTTATTCTTAGTTCCAAACTATACGATTCACTTCAACAACAAGTTAATTGAAGAGAAAACCAACGAGAAAACCTCTTTCAAGTAGGTAACAATCAGCCAATTCAATATTTGATGTTGAAAACCACTATTTTAGGCTTGTATCTCGTATATAATCTGTCAAAACAAAGACCACAGGGACTCGTATCCAATCGTCAGACTAGATTGTATGAAGCCCTCGACTAAACTATGTGTACGTTCTGTCGTGAAAACGCTATCCAAAAACAAAGATATACTACATTGAATTTGCAACAAAGTAGTTTACACATGGGCAAGTTTGCTGTAAACAGGGTTGACGTGTGTATAACAAGGGAGAGAACGTCTCATTCGTGTTTGTGTTGCCGAATAGGGGATACAGAAAATAACTGGGATAACTTGGGATTCTTGGTAATGGTCTCCCTTTTTTTGTTGGGAAACCTAATCACTGTCATAAGTTCCGTAGAATAACACGAGACTTGATAGACTCACTATGTACTTTAATGGTGTATAAGTACATACCAACTGGGATCACGAAAAGTTCTTCAGTCTATGTATCGGGTGTAGACTTTGTTACTAACTCCATACACCAACTTGGAACTGTTTATTCGAACGCAACCGTACATCATATGGAACGATACTCGGCCTGCTAAGGAATTTAGTATCCAGTACCTTCGAATCAATAGGTACGAGAGTCAATAGACCAGACGCTAATTTAGCTCAAAATATCATCAAAAGTTGATAGACTAGAATCCGATGATATTCTGTGATGTGTGAGTTATCATTCTGCTTTATAATATTAGAAGCCCAATTAAACGATGAATTATTGTTAGCACTATTTATTTTTCTCAAACATTGAGTGACTATAACAAAGTGTCTAATGTTTTGTGATAAGTTGACGAAAAACCATGGCATTGTCGAAATTTTAACATGATTGAATAGTTCCAGAGTTCCCCTAGGATTGCGAAGGTTTTTCCTAGGTTATACTTTCATGTTCTCAAGAAATAATAATAATAATAAGAAGAAGAGGGAAGGTACACCAAAAACCAGTATCTCCACCAGTATCTTCTAGTCTTTTGAAGTGGAGTTTCTCTAACATCAGCCAATATCACATGACTTGGTCGGTTTATTCAGATAGGTGGGTGTCACATTATCTCTTTTCTGAAGTAATATCAACAACAATATGCATTATAATATTTATGGAACGGAAAGAGGGAGCAATTCCTCTCCTGGAGCAGTTTCTTTCCGCATCCTAGATTTTCCATTGGAATCATGATCATATTTTCCAAAATTGTCCACTCTTTTTCCTATTGCATAAGGCATCAATTTGTGCTGAAGAATTTCCACGATATCTTTGTCCTCATCGGAATATGTCGCTATCAAACATGTTTTTTTTTCCCACAAAATCCACAACTTAAACCATTGTCGATCTAAATGAAAACCTCTCGGAAAACCAAGTAGGCGACCTAGTACGCGAGGAGGTACAATATTGTCTGTTCTTTGAATCAAAATCTGTCTGCCTGTCAAGTGGCGCTGGCATCCTGAAAATGGAAAAAGCTCATTTGTTTCTGTCAAAATAGACCATATTAGATCGACAATGCTTAAACAAAGGCAGTTGAGTTAAAATGTCATTGTTTATGACAGGATTCCCATTGGTCAGTGAAAACCATGTGAAAACCAATCAGATCCATTATTACACCTATTAACAAAAACTTACCATATATTACTTAGACCTCGACTTAGACTAAAACATTTTGATACAAGCAAACTTACCTCGTACTTTGGCAAGAGTACCCTTTTCGTAGTAAACTCGGTAGTAAACAAGTAACGCAATCCACATTTCAAATTCAAACCCCTTTTTTTCCATTGGTGTAGAAACTTTAGATGTTTAAGTACTGAAAAAATCAAGTTCCACATCCATGGAATGATATACATCATAATCATTGCAAAATGAGGCTATGCCAACGTAACAAATTTGAGTGAAATTTCATGAGCCGTTTCAAAGTTATGGAGCAACATCGATTTGAAAATTCTAATTTCAGAGCTAAACTGCTTCCAACTTTACCCAAACTAAGCAACTTTGTACTGAGGTGTGATCGTTTTAGTCCGAGATCTATATAGTACGTTTTTGTGAATAACTTTCAGGGACACCCTGTGTATAGTCAACATTCCTGATCTGTCAATCAATTGACTAGTGGATAAAAATGATGAGAAAGGCCAAACTATCGGCAATTGATAAAAAGGCCCTCAGAGTTCAAGTGATTCAAAGATCATAAGCAACCAAGCCTACCAACCTGTGTGAGTACGAAGATGCGCCTTCAAATGGGAACTCTTCCCGTAAACCTTGTGGCATCCCTCATACGAACACTTGTGAGTCTTCCTCTGCTGCTGAAGCATCCCCAACCTGGGCACCCCAGGTTTCTTCAGGGGTGGGGCAATCTCCACCTTCCTATTCTTCACCACCACCGCAGGTTTTTCAGGGGTGCCATTCTGACTCTTGTAACCCTCGTCAGCTTCCTCGTCTATGGTGAGGTTGCCCTCACTGTCTGAGGTGAGGACCTCGGGCACTGGCTCCTGCTTGATCCTGGTGAGGTCGGTGAGGATCCTGGCGACCATGTAGGAGGAGGACTCTGCTGTGGGCTCTTTGTCTACAGTGGGCATTTTTTCAACGATGACTGCGGCACCCTTCGGGGGTAGTTTGAGGGTCCTAGAAAGATCCAGGGGCCTGGTGAGGTGGTCTTTGCTGTGGGACATCTCCAGCAGGCATTGGGCTGCGAAGCTGATGTCGTCCATCGTGGTTGTGTTATCGAACACAGGCTCACAAAAAATTGATCCTGGAGGCACAAGGAATTGAAGGAACGGTGGTCGGTTTGATTTGGTCTGGTTACGTCACTCATTTAGGGGTTTAGAAATCAAGAACTCGGAATAGATCAGATGAAATCGCAGGTTGCACAGCAATGACTATGTCTTTTCCTTATTTGACTCCCCTATGTAGGCTTCTACTCAGATGATGAAATATTGACGGCAGAGATACTGAATGATTGACTTGCAACCAAGCAAACATCAAGTACGGACTGCCTGATCTCATTGAACAGATACATATAATACATTAAAATCATTGAATGGGTTTTGATGATCTATGATGAAGAAGTTTGCTAGTATTTACTCTCAGGGGTAATACTCTGTTAGGAATCAACTAGACCCAATTTCTTGGTGACACCACTTGTCCGCAAGACTAGTAGTTTTACCTCGAGGCAATGTGATCGAGTTCAAAATTTCTGACAGAATGTTAGATAGATTGTATTTATTGGAAAAATTCTACGACGTATATGAAACTGTCATCTCCATATAATACCAGATGATAATATGTTGTTACATTCAGTTTCGTGATTGAAAGGAGCAGCGTACAATCGAGGTGAATCAGTCTGATTAGTTCTCATACAGGATGTTACGTGACTCGATCCTGAGAGCTTAAGGCCATATTCCTTTAACAATTTCAATTCGGAAGTGCCCTCTATACACTTTTGTCTGAAACTCAATAGTTAAAGAGCTTCAAGCGAATCAATAACAACTTTGCTCACTAGTGGATTGCAAGAAGTAGTCCAGTTCGTTGGTTGTCAAGGTCACCTGACCACAATCATTTTTAGGAACCCATGAAAAGTCAAGTGTAGTCAAATAAACTGCAAACCAGAGATGAGCTAATTCGGAATATCCACAGCTGCATTTATAAGAGACCATCCAGATACTCTTCACAGAGCAACGTTTTCAGAAATTAGACAGGTCAGAATGTATTGTGAAGCAGCAAGGATATATTTTGAACAAAAAACATCTGTGTTAGTAAACAAAAAATTATCATTGATAAGCTCTCTGATAAAAAATTACATTACTTCATTCAACATTCCATTTGCCGCATTACACATACTCTGTGAAATTTAATGTTGTATAGTGCACTCTTGACTTGAAATTGTTGAACGAATATGCCCTCAAGCAATGGGGATCGAGGCACGTGCAACCCTGTATCACAGGAGGACTACACTTTCATTTATACGTGGTAGAATTCTCCAGGAAAAGTGTTCCTAGCCAAAATAATGTAGAGAACTGATTATTCCTCTTATTTTCTAATAATCCAGATATCCATCCCATTTAATACAGGTGTTTGTTGCCTAATGAGTTCTAAGTTGGTCTGGAAATGCTAAGAGAAGCTGAAAGAGTTGTATAGGCGAGAGTAACACGGTCCAAGGCACACTAGAGTATAGACATAGCAACCTGACTGGGAGAAACAATGGCCGGCACAGTACTAAACGAACAAGAGATGAAAGCAGATAAAGAAAGATCCAAATACTCGAAGGCTGCTAAGACACGTCATAACTTCATCAACTTGAGTAACTTAAGCAAGATAAAGTCCTGAATACTCTCTAAAGGCATTGCCGAATGAGAGAACACCTCAAATACTGTGAGGAACATCTATCCATAGTTTGTCACTTTGTCAGTATACATGAACTGCTCTTTCAAGTAGTTAACAGAGATATACTCAAACTGAAGCCGTCTCGCATCTTCAGTTTCTTAGCGGAGACAGGACTAGAGATACTGCCAGAGACCCAGTGATTGCAGCAGCAGAAGAGTGCATAATAGATGTTTCAGCGTGTTTCAGGTACATTTCCATAGGTACATACAAAAAATGTCTTGTAATGCGTTTCACAGTTGGGAATGAGGAATTTCTTGCTATCATCAATCTGCGTCGAGTTTTGTCTACAAATGTCTAACTGAGCGAATGTAACAAGTGGTCCATGCATTGTCCACAAAAATATACGACTGGGTGTTAAGAATTCATGAGAACAAGGCCATACTACAGGTGGTTGAAGTAAATGAGTAGAGCGTTCGCATACAAAGTATTTGATGAATAAAAGACTTGGTTGGTCGTTTTGAACTGGGAAAAGACCATTTGTCCATATTTTATCAGTATTCCATGCACTAGCTGCTCCATCAAATAAAGGACAGAGAAGTACCCATACTGAACTTGTCTCATATCTTTAGTTTCGTAGAGCAGATAGGACAATAAGAAGAATTGCTAAAGTCACTCATTGACCCACCAGCAAAAGAATGCACAACTAATAGACTTTTTAGACACTACTTCAGGTATCCTGGCATTTCTATAGGAACATACAATAGGTTTCTTGCTCGGTTTCTTGTTAATAGACGCCCCACAGTACGTCAACAGTTGAGGAATCGTTGGACATCATCGATCTGCTGTCGACCTCAGGCTTCAGATTTTCAACAATAAGATGAACTGCTTGAATCACTCAGTGATCCAGCAGCAAAAGAATGCACAATCAATAGATACACTCACCGGCAAAAAAAACCGGCCACCAAAAAATTTTGTCAAGTTGTTCGCCCTGTAACTTCTTTAGTTCTTGTCGGATTTTGGTGAAATTTTGAAAAAATCGTAGATTCATGTTCCGGAATGTTAACCTGAATATGAATTCCCAAAAAAGCTGATAGCTTGGTCATTCTACAGGGAAAAACAAGAGTTACTCATTTACCCATAACTTCTTAACGCCCTGTGGCTGAAGTGAGTGGTTGAACTCCTCTTCATTATGTCTTGGATTGAAGAGTATTCTTTTCTCATCACAATAGTTTTTAATTCACGTCGATATCTCATTGTTTAGAAAAGATACGATGGTTTTAAGAAAGTATGGAGTTATTCAAGTTTTATTTAACAATCATCAGAACGTACATGAACTTATCGATCGACAACTTAAAAAAAAACATCTTTAAATCAATATGGCTTATTTCCACATTGTTTTCTTGGTATACTTTCCATATTATTGGAGACGGCTTTGTCTTGATGCATGACAACGCCAGACCACACGTTGCTCGAATTGTAACCGAGTATTTGAATGAGGTCGGAATTCTAAGGCTTGACTGGGCCAGCATGCAGCCCGGATTCCAATCCTATAGAGCATCTTTGGGATGAACTACAGAGGCGCATTCGTCTACGTCCGGCATTGCCAGAGACTCTTCAAGAGCTACGATTCGCCCTTCAAGAAGAATTTGAGGCAATTGCTCAAGACTGCTTGAGAAATCTGATCAACTCGATGCCACGGCGATTAAATGCTGTAATTCAAGCTCGAGGAGGGCATACTCGGTATTGAATACATCTAGGAGATCTACTTTTCGTTTGTTTTTTGTAATTAAGGTTTTTTTGTGTAGGTGTGTCTACGTTCTGATTATTGTTAATAAAACTTTAATAACTCCATACTTTCTTAAAACCCTCGTATCTTTTCTAAAAAATGAGATATCGACGTGAATCAAAAACTATTGTGATGAGAAAAGAATACTCTTCAATCCAAGACATAATGAAGAGGAGTTCAACCACTCACTTCAGCCACAGGGCGTTAAGGAGTTATGGGTAAATGAGTAACTCTTGTATCCCTGTATAATGACCAAGCTATCACCTTTTTTGGGAATTCATATTCAGGTTAACATTCCGGAACATGAATCTACGATCCGATCAAAATTTCACCAAAATCCGACAAGAACTAAAGAAGTTACAGGGTGAACAACTTGACTAAATTTTTTGGTGGCCGGTTTTTTTTGCCGGTGAGTGTATTTCAGACACTATTTCAGGTATCCTGGCATTTCAATAGGTACATACAAAATGTTGCCTGTTGAAAGGCGTCCCACAGTACGTTAACAGTTATGGAATCGTTAGACATCATCGATCTGCTGTCGATCTCAGGTTACAGAGTCACTCATGTGACCCAGCAGCAAAAGAATACACATTCAATAGATATTTTAGACACTACTTCATGAATTCTGGCATTTCTATAGGTACATACAGAAGGTGTCTTGTTAAAAGACTTAAGGCTACAGATTTTCAGCTTGGACGAATGTAACAAGTGGTCCATTCGATGTCCATAAGAACAAGGACAGATGAGTACTCATACTGAACATTTCTCATATCTTCAGTTTAATAGAGAAGATACAATAAGATGAACTGCTAAAGTCACTCAGTGACCCACCAGCAAAAGAATGCACAACCAATAGACTTTTAAAACACTACTTCAGGTATCCTGGCATTTCTATAGGTACATACAAAAGGTGTCTTGTTAAAAGGCGCCCCACAGTACGTCAACAGTTGAGGAATGGTTGGACATCATCGATCTGATGTCGACCTTAAGTTATAGATTTTCAACAATAAGATGAACTGCTAGAGTCACTCAGTGATCCAGCAGCAAAAAAATGCACAATCAATAGATATTTCAGACACTACTTCAGGAATCCTGGTATTTCTATAGGTACACACAAAAGGTGTCTTGTTAAAAGGCGCCCCACAGTACGTCAAAAGGTGACAATCGTTGGACATCATCGATCTGCAGTCGACCTTAGGCTACAGATTTTCAACTTGGACGAATGTAACAAGTGGTCCATTCGATGTCCACAAGAACAAGGCTACATTACAGGTGGTTGAAGCGAATAAGTTGAGCGTTTGCATACAGGGAGTTCAATGAACAAATGGCTTATAGACTGGGATCTAGGAGTGACGTAACCAAATCCGATAAGGCTAAGGCCGTTCGACCACCGTTCTTTCGATGAATTCACCGTGTTTCTAGAGCACTTCACCGCATCATTCTCTCGACCTTGGCACTTAGCACTGTCTCGATTTCGTCCGTACAAAGAGTCATCTCTGTAGGAGGGTGTTACGGAATTAGACGCGCCGTGAGGTTCGAGGTTTCGTGATTTTGGCGCGGTGAATCACGGAACGTGGGCTTCTCGACTGTTCGAAGCGCTAT